ATACCAATTCAGTCTTAAACCTTTCAATTGGATCAATTTAGTCCTAACCATTTTTACATTAGTACCAAGTTAGTATATTCAGCCAATTTAGGCCGAAAATTATTACTGTGGATGTCGGCCGTCCTATGTGGCATGGCCAGCGGACGGCCGTTATTGACGTGGACAATATTAATAATCTTTTAAAAATTCCCTTTTTTCTTTTTTTTCTTTCTTTCTTTCCTTTTTTCCTCTCTTTTTTTTCCTTCTCTTTCTTCTATGGCTTGTGGCCGGTCTGGCCACTGGCCACAGGCGAGGGCCGCCCTTGCCAGATCCAGTAAGGGCTCGATCCTCACGACTCTCGCTTGTGGCTGGTGGCCGGACCAGCCATAGGCCAAAGAAGAAAGAGAAGGAAAACAAAAGAAAGGATAAAAAGGAAAAAAGAAAAAAAGAGAATTTCAAAAAAAGTATTAAAAATTTCAAAAAATATTAAAATATTATTAAAAATGTCTACGTTAGTGCCAGCCGGCCATGCCACATAGGACAGCCAGTATCTACATCAATAATTTCCGGTTTAAATTGGCCGGATGGACTGAATTTGTACCAATGTGAAAATATTTAGGACCAAATTGATCCAATTGAAAAGGTTTAGAATTGAATTGGTACCAATATAATAGGTTTATGAGTTTTTTGGTACTTTTCTGGAAAATTGTCAAATCAGTCCTAAACCTATTGTACGGCGGCCAATTCAGTCCTAAACCTTTTAAGTTTGCCAATTCAGTCCTAAACCTTTTAAATTCTTGCCAATTGAGTCTTTCCGGCCAATTTTGGCCGGCCGGCACTGACGTGGCCGCCGGCCGTCCGGCACTGACGTGGCCGCCGGTCGTCCGGTCAACGCTGACGTGGCAATTTTTAATTATTTTTTTTTCAATTTTTTAATCGTTTTTTTTCTTTTTCTTCTTTTTTTTCTGGTTTCTCCCCTCCGGCCAGTCCGGCGGCCGGCCAGAGGGGAGGGCCGGCGAGGCCTCTGGCGAACCCGCCGGCCACCGGTGAGGTCTCGCCGGCCCCTGGCTGGGCGAGACTCGGCGAGGCGAGGTCGAGCCTCGCCGTCGCCTGGGTCGCAACTGCGAGGCTCGGCGAGGCGAGGTCGAGCCTCGTCGTCGCCTGGGTCGCGACGGCGAGGTCGAGCCTCGCCTAGGCGAGGTGGACCTCGCCGTCGCGACCCGGCGACGGTGAGGCTCGACGAGGCGAGTCGAGCCTCGCCGTCGCCCGGGTTGCGACGGCGAGGCTCGGCGAGGCAAGGTCGAGCCTCGTCGTCGCCGGGTCGCGATGGCAAGGTCGAGCCTCACCCGGATCCGGTGAGGCTCGACCTCGCCATCGCGACCCAGCGACTGGAGGCGAGGTCGAGCCTCGCCCAGATTTGGCGAGGCTCGACCTCGCCGTCGCGACCTAGGTGACGGCGAGGCTCGGCGAGGCGAGGTCGAGCCTCGCCTAGATCTGGCGAGGCTCGACCTCGCCGTCGCGACCCAGGCGACGGCGAGGCTAAACCTCACCTCGCCGAGCCTCGCCTAGCCAGGGGCCGGCGAGGCCTCACCGGTGGCCGGCGGGGCGAGCTTCGCCAGAGGCCTCGCCGGCCCTCACCTCTGGCTGGCCGCCGATCACCGGACCAGCCAGAGGGGAGAAACCAGAAAAAAAAAAGATTAAAAAATTGAAAAAAAATAATTAAAAATTGCTACGTCCGCGTTGACCGGACGGCCGATGGCCACGTCAGCGCCGGCCAGCCAAAATTGGCTGGAAGGACTCAATTGGCAAGAATTTAAAAGGTTTAGGACTGAATTGGCAAACTTAAAAGGTTTAGGACTGAATTGGCCGCCGTACAATAGGTTTATGACTGATTTGACAATTTTCCCGGTACTTTTCCCATTCCTTACATGTGGGGTGTCAGTAACCAAATCTATCCGTGTACGTCAAACATCCGAACTTAAACTCACAGAAAGGTTTGATTAATAAAAACCCACGAACGATTTACGGTGAAAGGGTATGCATGGCATATCAGTGTAAATGAACTTGAAAATGCACAAACGAAGATGGTAAGAATATCTCACGATTCACTGATAAAGAAACCACAATTGCACAAACAAAGATATCCTCCAGCAATCAATCCATGATTATTGCATGATATAAATCTTCAATAATTCGACTATGACAATAAATGTAAATGAGCTCCAACAACATTGACGAGGTAGATCAATCACTGAATACCAAATCTAGAGAGAGAGAGAGAGAGAGAGAGAGAGAGAGAGAGAGAGAGAGAGAGAGAGAGAGAGAGAGAGAGAGAGAGAGAGAGAGAGAGAGAGAGAGATGATTATTCACCTTTGCTATTTCCAAAAGTGTAGTGTGTCAGACTCTCATGCCAATTTTGTGAAACTTCAACGTGAATCATAGCTACGGAGGAGAAGGAGTTTCGACTCCCCTGCTGCTTTCTTTAACTTTTGATGTGAACTAGAAAGCTATGGAAGAGTTTTGACTCTCTCAGCACATTCGTAGAGTTTTGACGTGAACCAAAGAATTACGGAGGAGTCGTGAAACTTCGATATCAATTAGAGATACATAGGAGAAGGAGATGGAGAGGTAAAGGTTTTTTTTTTTTGGAAATCTCATAGCATTCTTCAAGAATTAAAAATCATTTTCAAGTTTGAATTTGTTCATTTATAATTAGGGTTATTTTATTTCATTTTTATTTACTAATTTTTTATTTTCCCTCTCTTTTTTAATTTCTTTTTTATTCCCTTCCATCATTCTTTAATAACAATTTTTCTTATAATAATCTATACTAATATACCCAAAATAAGCTATAAATATTAAATATATATATAATATATATTATAGCATAGAAAGAAATTCAAATATATAATAAAAATAGAAATGAATAAAAACGAAAATTGTTTTTATTTTTTTGTGTTGTTTTGGATTTCCTTTATTTTAAAATTCAAATATTATTTATATATATATATTTTAAGTTTTATTAATGTTAGCAGTTTGTCATTTGAGAAAATTAGTTTTTATACTATAAATAGAAGAAATCCTATCCACCTTTATCCCACCTCTCCTATGAGATATTTCTATCCGAGCTCTATCCCTCTTATATATGATATTATCCTGTCTAGAGCAGGAACCAAACACAGGAGAGTATAAATCCTGGCTACAAAACGTCACTTGAAAACTTTATGTATTAAGTCATTAGGATCTTTTTATAAAACCCATTGTCGGCTTCCACAAACTATAGAATATTTTCATTTGTGAAACTATGCTATAAAGTATGATAAATCCGACAGTGCAGGATAGCTCATTTACAAAAGTATGCTGTTTAAGTATGATATATCGGTTATTGCATGATAGCTCATTTCGGAAACGTGATCATTGTGGCTATTCGGCTTTTTATGCATGTCGAGTCCTAGATCAATATGACTGATGGCATGGTGTAGAATGATTGGGCCATTAGTGTACCCACGAGAAATGGGCCCTTCGCTGGGCCCATTATGGATTACAGCGGACTTTGTCCATTAAAAGACATTTTGGAATGAACTGAAGTGGAAATCTAAGCATCTTGAGCAAAAAGAGTCGGAATTAGTTAACACTAGATCTTGAGTGTGCATCATATCAACCCTTATATAAGTTTCTCAAAATTACTCCTTGGTTTGGTCGAAAAGACAATTCAAATAGCGATTTTTTTATCATTTTAAAACAGGTTCCATTTCCTTGCGATTCCCGTCTCAATATTTTTGATTGACAAAATACCCAATCGTATTCGCCGTAATAGATCTCAAGCTTCATTTTTGGAGCTCAGCTGAAGTAATAGTATTCAAAAGTAGATCATCGTACGTCCAAGCTCTGCAACAGGGGGGCTCCATCCACTATACTTCACTCACATAACCCTGCCAACCCTTTGGTTTTGGGGTGCCCCCATCAAATTTTTCCTGAGAAAATTTCAATCCCCAAGGAAATCGAGGTGGGTCTTGCAACTTTTGTCAAGAGGAAACCCCATGATGTTGATTTGGTGGTTAAGACAGATCTATGTATATTGATTATGTGCACGGTACATGTTACCATACAGGATTCAGAAGTTATTCATGGATTTAAATTCAGTAACATTTTGCGTAACTATAAATTGCGAGTTATAGAAATTCCAAGTGTACTCTTTGTAAGGTCCTCCCAAATCAATTACATAACTCCACGTTGTTCTACAAATTTATATTTATCTTTAGTTTCCTGTAATTTACTTCTTGCACTTTTCATCACCGGTAAGGACTGATTTTAGTGTTTGCGCTTTTAATTACTCGGCATTTATTTTCTTGTCCTAAGTCAACAAGGGATCATTTACAACCTTTGTCGATTCATATATATCCATCCATAATTTAAACGGCATTTCATCAATTCAGCGAAACACGTCCTCTTAAAAATTTCCATAACCTCTGCAAGTTAAGCAGGGGAAAAAGCCTATTGCCTTAAAGCACAAATATTATATCTTTGAACATAACTATTATTGGGTAGGCTCATTTTATAAGTGATACAGTTTACATGATTAGTCAGCGTCGTGAAACACGGGAGCACGTATGCTATTTCTTAAGAATTAATATATCAAATCTACAATAGTTTTCAAATAATTTATTCTTTTTTTTTTGGTCGGAAAATTAAATATATTATTCACTAGGAAAGGATAGTAGGACCCGATAAATGAGCATCAATACATAAGAGCTCCCAAAGTGCTTGGGGAGGGGAGAAGACCCAATTCAAAGGTAGGTAGTTTTTTTTGTGGGCTTTAGCAACCCAGTCCGCAACAAAGTTGGCCTCTCTATAACAATGAATAACCCGGATACTAGAGAAGGATCGTAGCAGGTCTTTGCATTTCAAGATAAGCACGTGAACTTCCCAACTAAGTTGATCTGGGACTCTCTACGGCATTGACTAAGTCCAAATTGTCAGACTCAAGTACAAGGACTTCGTGTCGTTTGGGAAAGAAGTGAGTTAGGGCTTCTAACAAAGCGAGAGACTCAGCCATAAGCGAGGACGACGTTGCCACCGTACGAGCTGCTCCGTCCAGCAACCTCCCGACGGAATCACGGCAAACGCAGGCGACCGAACCTTCTGAAGCTCCAGGTTCGTACGATCCATCTATATTTATCTTATAAGTTCCATACAGCGGTGGATTCCAAGTCCCTGAAAAATCATCGGCTTTGTTCCCAGATCTGCTTGATTTGGGGTTCCATTTGTTAAAGCTCTTCAACCCAGCTAGAACAGAGTCGATGATGCTGATTGTGTCGGGTTTTCTGTTCTTGAAGATGGCTTGGTTGCGCGCCTTCCATATATTCTATAGTGTTGCAGCAACCAGCTCTAGATTAGGTGAGTTGCTTGACTTTCCTTTTAAATTCCCGAACCAATCTTCAATTCGAGTAAGACCCTAACTTGATATATGAACATTCAGCACAGGGTTCGACCAAATTTCCTTTATCCAAGGACACAATAAAAACAGGTGCTCCACAGTTTCCACGCATCGATTGCATAAAGAGCATGTGGGATCAGGTATAACTTTTCTTCGAAATAAATTCTCTTTAGTTGGGAGAGCATTCTGGCATAAATTCCACATGAAAATTCTAACCTTGGGTGGAGAGTGCAATTTCCATATATCTATCCAGAGGGTGGGAGGAGGTTGAAAAGAAGTTGAGGCTTGATTTTCATTCTGTTTATTTGCTTTCTCTCGAATGTAGTTGTATCCACTTTTAACTGTGTACTTGCCTGCCTGAGTTCCGGTCCATACGAGCCGGTCTTTCTCTGTTTGGGGTTTAATCGGGATAGCAAGGATTTCTCTCACTAATTGATCCTCAAAATGTTCAATTAAAACTGTTTCATCCCATATGCCTTCCTCACTAATAATGAGTTCAGAGACAAAACGTGGTTCATCTCTATTAGCAGGACCTCCTATGATTCCCCTCTTCAGCCATTTATCCTCCCTGATTCTTATTTGTGAACCATCCCCTACTGCCCACAGCACTTGGGGTGAGATGGAGTCTCTTCCTAGGATCAGACTTTGCCAACCCCATGAGGGGCGTTGTCCCTTTTCCGCATGCCAGAAATCTCTATGAGGAAAATAAAGGCCCTTAAATAGAATGCTCCAGAGAGAGTTTGGACTATTACTCAGACACCAAGCTTGCTTTCCTAACATTGCTTTATTGAAGGAGAGCAGATCTCTAAATCCCAGGCCACCCTTATCCTTTCTTGTCTTCAGAATATTCCATCTCTTCCAGTGAATTCCGGCTTTGGTCTCATTGGTTTTCCACCAGAATGAAGCAATTTTCTGTTCAATAGCCTTACAAATAGAAATCGGGATCTTAAAAACAGACATGGCATATTGTGGTAATGCTTGAACCACCGCTTTAAGCAAAACTTCCTTACCAGCTTTTGACATTAGTTTTTCCTTCCACCCTTCTAGTTTGGAATTGACTTGTCCTAAAATCCAAGCAAACATTTATTTTTTCGATACTCCCCAATCCGAAGGAATTCCAAGATATTTGCCAGTTTTGTCAATAATAGGAACTCTCAATTCCCTTGCCATATTGTCTTTCATAGTTTGGGGGCAATCACTACCAAAGAAAATCCCCGATTTGTTTAAGTTTATAGCTTGTCCAGATGCTAGGCAATATTGATTCAGGATAGATGCCAAATTCTAACACTCTAGAATTGTACCATTCAAAAAGAATATTGAGTCATCCGCAAAGACTAAATGAGAAAGGGTGGGACACCGCCTATTCAGTTTAATCCCTGTGATACTTCCATTGTCCACAGCTGTCTTCATTAATGAGGACAGTACATTTGCCACCAGAATGAAAAGGTAGGGAGATAGGGGATCCCCTTGCCTAATCCCTCGAGAAGGTTTGAAGTAATGGAGAGGTTCTCCATTAAACTTAACGCTGAATGAAACTGTTGTGACACATTTCATAATCCATCCCACCCATTTCTCATCAAAGCCAATCTTGATTAGGCATGCCTCCAAGAAATCCCATTCCACTCGATCGTAGGCTTTCTTCATGTATAACTTGAGAACCGCTTGAAATTTCTTTTTTCTCTTTCGAATTCTAATTTGATGCAACACCTCCTGGACAATAAATATGTTATCTTGAATTTGCCTCCCGCCGACGAAAGCACTTTGTTCCATTGCAACAAGTTCTGGTAGAAGTGGTTTGAGTCTATTGGCCAGCACTTTTGAGATAATCTTGTAGCCAAAATTACATAAACTAATTAGGCGGTATTGATCTAGTCTCTCTGGGTTCGGGACTTTCGGGAGAAGGGAGATGTGTGTTTTATTTAAATCTGGTGGCAGGGATCCAGTGTTGAAGAAATTCCTCACCTCCTTTAGAATATCTCATTTAATCTCTTCCCAATTCTGCTGATAAAACAAACCACTAAGGCCATCAGGCCCCGGTGCTTTTGCTGTGCCGAGCTGGAAAGTTGCATTCATTACTTCTTCCAAGGTTGCCTCAGCCAACAAGAGGTGATTCATCTCTTCTGTTACCACCCGAGATACCTGATCCAGAACTGGGGAGAAATGTCGAGGGCCGATAGATTGATATATATCTCGGAAAAAAAGTATGGTATGTTCTTTCAACTGGCACTGCTCAAATAGCCATGTATTCTCTAAATTCTGAAGCATAGAGATCCTATTCCTCTGTCGCCTCTGAATGGTAGTTGCACGAAAAAACTTTGTGTTTCTATCTCCCCATTTCAACCAATTAATTCTCGATCGCAGCCCCCAATACATCTCTTCCTGCCTCTATAAATAATCAATATCTTCTTGCAGATTTTTGATTCTCACTTTGTCAAAGGACCCCCATGGTATTGTTTGTCAGCCACTGCAGTTCCTGTTTTAGCAAGTTGATTTCCCTATGTCCATTCGCGAATTTCTTCTTACTCCATTTGGAAAGGGCAAAAGTTACAGCCTGCAACTTCCCGACTAAATCCTTTTCAAAGTGAGTGGGAGAGCTCCAAGTTTCTTTCACCACCTTTCTACATTCATCACTCTCAAGCCAGAAGGCTTCAAACTTGAATTCCTTTTTTCGTTTTACAGGGTTAGCCCAAAGAGATAGAAGTATAGGACTGTGATCTGATCCTATTGCTGGGAGAGCATAAGCTTCTGCTTCAGGGAACATCAACCTCCATTCAATCGTACATACCACCCTGTCAAGTTGTTCTTTAACGTACTCATCCCCTTCTCTATTATTGGCCCAAGTGAACGCACACCCTTTACTGTCAATGTCCATCAATGAACAGGCATCTAGACAATCCTGAAAAGCATTCATTCTATAGTTTTCAGCCAAGCGCTTTCCAACTTTTTCCTAGTAAAACCGCACCTCGTTAAAGTCACCCAAACACACCCAAGGCAGTACATTCATGGAACTTATATTTCGCAATTCCTCCCAAAGTTGTAGCCTTTTTTGGTACAAATAAGAAGCATGAACAAATGTAACTCTCATTTCCTTTCCACTAACCACCTCTTTACACCTCAAATTCACAAATTCCTCAGACATTGAGTCTATTTCCAGTGAAATTCTTTCATCCCACAGAATAGCCAAGCCTCCCGCCATGCCCACAGGATTAACTACAAAACAACTCTGAAAAATGGAGTCTTCTCTTTATTCTCTGAATAACCTCAGCCTGATTTTTTGTTTCCATCAGAAAAACCACAGTGGGCCTAAAACGAGCCACTAAAGCTCTTAATTCTCGGACTGTCAAGGGTGTGCCCAACCCTTGACAGTTCCAGCATAGTATATTCATGGTTCACTTGGTGGCTTATTAGGGCTAGCCACCAAAGCCCATGCAGCGACTTCTTCAGTCGTACGAACAGGTGTTTCAAGAAGTTGAGTTTCATCTAGCCAAGTTGGGGTTTTAGGTAGTGAATTGTAAGGACTGAACCTCTTTTGTTTTTTGGTTGAGGGAGTTTTTGGTTCCTTACAGCTCCTCTTTCTGTTGCCTTCTGAACTTGTTTGGGCAGGCTGAGAATTCAAGCCTTTCTCATGAGTAGGGCCTGTAAGCAGAAGTGCTCTTTTACCAGAATTATACATTGTTATCTCCTGCGTGTAGTAGGGATCTGTCCTCATGTGATCTTCCTGTTGTATAGTGGAATTAATACTGGGAGAGATGGGCTGAACATCTTCCATAACCGCATTTTGCCTTTGGTGCTCAGGAGTTTCAGGGATACTCTCTTCAATTTCTTCTACCATAGATTCCTTCTTGTAGAAAACTTTCCAAAAGGGACTGTGCCCTGAAGTTTCAGCTTTCAGCCAGCTTCCAAAACAACTTCCCAACTCTATCGTAAATTTTTCTTCATCGTAGGGAATGTCTTTGCAGTAATTAGCATAGTGTCCAATCTTCCCACACGAGTAACAAAAGAAAGGCAGCCGTTCGTATTTAAAATCAAGCCAGACCTTCCTGTTTTGGTGTCGCATCAATTGTCCAACTCTCAGTTCAGTATCCATGTCCATTTCTACTCTCGCTTTCCCAATTCTTTGAGCTGTAGGGCCTCGAGCATCTATTTTCACTTCTAGTACGTTCCCCATCGAGCTAGCAATTTTCTTTACCATACCTTCATAATTCCATTCAAGAGGGAGTCCAAAAATTCTAACCCAAAAGGCACAGGTCTTGAACTCATAACAATGGAGAGGAGTATCCGGTTCCCAGGGTTTCAAGAGCAGTAAATGATTAGAAAAAGACCAAGGACCTCCTTCCAGCACTCGATTCTTTTCTCCTTCATTACGAAATGCAAAACTGAACTTGCCATTTTCGAGGGGTTTGACCTCCACATACTCATTCCTCCAAGCCTTCTTCATAGCTGTTTGGAGTGCTTGGAAATTTATGCTAAGGTTTTGGAAAAGTTGCCCGATAAGAGAGACCCGACATTCCATGATTTTTTCCTCTGAAAGTTCCTCATCTAGAATATTCATATCATTTTCGTACATTAACTTACCCAGTTTATTGCAGAGATGTGCCAAACGCTCAGCAGCACCTTCTTCCTCATCCATCAGCAACGTTCTTTAGTAACTCAAAACCCTATTGAAAATGGGACACAACGCCTTGAAGCATTCACCGGTAGTAGAGGTCAAAAGGTCTAAAAGCCAAAAAATCGAAGAAGGAACCAAGAAATTTGTGGAGGGCAACATGGGTGCGAGACAAAGCTGTGAGAATGGGAATGGATTTGTGGGCAGGTGTCAAAGGTGGGTGACAAGGCTGAGAGCCCAAGAGCCAAAGACACGCAGATGCTTCAATGGTTGTGGGATAGGGAAGAAGCTGTAGAAGAGAACAAAGAGTTGAACCACAGATGCAAAGTGAACACTGGGAAACTTATCAAAGAGAGTAGAGAAAGCAAGAAATCGGGCTAAATCATGGTGGAAGGTTGGGGCTTTTGGTAGGGTTTGGGTTAGGGTTTAAGGTATAGGAAGCCATAGCTACACAAAGCGGTAGAGAGGAGCTACACAAAGCGGTAGAGAGAGAGGTTGAATGTCATAATATCTTGTTACCTTCAAATCATTTATTCATTCTCGCTTATATTGGGCAATATCAGCAATCAAAGGTAACCATCTGTCCTCTCTTACCACTATGCTGAATTTGTGTATGCAAGTGGAATAATAAATCTTTGTCATACCACACAACGATGGGTGGCCATAGTCCAAGCACAGTTCGTTCTTGCAAACTTAGTCTTTGGAT